GATATCGCCCTCCAGAGATGCTGCAGCCCAGCCCTGCCACAGCTTGGGAGTGGAACATCTCTGAGCTGATATCAGGAAAGAAGAATAGAAGAAAACAGGTATATTTGCTTGTCCTGCTCTCTGACTCTGGCACCACGGTGAGGTCAGGTTTAAGGTGAAGGGTGAGCACTCAGCACCCAGGGTGTACAAGAGAAGCTCAGGAAGACACGACACCATTTCAGGATCCTCCAGAGCAGCTTGTCTCACTTTAGTCTCTTCAATCCCACGAGACACTCTCTTCCTCCAACAGTTTGTTTTTCAGACCTCTAAACACCTCAGGCCTTTGCACTGCACCTGCCCCCAAGCAGCCACCCCTCCTGCTCTGTCCCCAGACCCCAGCCTGGCTCCAGGGTTTATAAACCCATAGTGCCACCCTCTTGCTGACTGCAGGGAGCCAGTCAGCACTTCCTGGCATGTCTGTTCCCTTGCTGCTCTTGCAGGGTGGATCCATCCTCTCTGAGCCCCCAGCTGGCCCAGCAGCTTTTGCCCTGGGCTCTCCCAGGTTCCTGGCAGTAGCAAACAGTGTGTGCCTTTGCTTCATGGTACAAACCTGTTGATGCCAGAGTGTTTCCAGAAGTTTGAGAACACATGCAAATGTTTGCATCCTAACTACAGAAGGAAATAATAATTGCATCCTAATCCCAGAATGGTTTGAGTTGGAAGGGACCTTAAAGCTCATCTTGTTCCACCCCCTGCCATGGGCAGGGACACCTTCCACTAGCCCAGGTTGCTCCAAGCCCTGTCCAACCTGGCCTTGGACACTTGCAGGGATGGGGAAGCCACAGCTTCTCTGGGCAACCTGTGCCAGGGCCTCCCCACCCTCACAAGGAAAAGTTTCTCCCTGATATGCCATCTACTGCTGCCCTCTGTCAGCTTATAGCCCTTAAAGTACTTGCATTAGTGGCAACTGCAAAAAAACACCTGTGACTGGAAAATGGAGGTTAAAGCTCAGTAAACAACCCAAGTTATAGATGCCCAGCTGGCATAGCCATGTGTTGCACATCAAACTCAGGTTTTATTTGGAGACCAAAACAGTTCCAGGTCACTTGTGCAGACACAGTGGGCAGCATCTGCTCCCCCCCCTCTGCAGCTCCAAATGATGACTGCTGAGTGACACCCCATAGTTACAAACCTGAAATCCAAATTTAGCTCACCCTGCAGACTGTTACAACAATGAAACCTAAATTTCTGTTTGATTTCAGATGCCAGGTGGAGGGAGGATAAGCAGCCTTCACTGGCACACAGTGGTTTGGTGGTTTAACCCTCCAACGTTGCTGCTGAATCTTCAAAAGTGTATCCCAGGGATGGATGGAAAAACAGAGCACTTTATGGAGGGGCTGAGCAAATCAGGCTAGAACCAACCACACATCACATGTGTAGGAAAAGGCTTCAATGCCAGTGTATGTATTTATTTGTTATAATCCTAAACCAGGGGTTTGGGATGCTGGGGCCACAAGGCATTGCCAACAAAGTAAGGCTCTCTTTCTTTACTGCTTGTTGCAATGGCACCAAGTGCTGCCCATTGCCCTCTTTGGCAGCTCAGGTATGTCTCTGGGCATCACCCAGCTTTCAGGCATTGGACCAGCAAAAAAAGCACCTTTTCCAGTGTCCAGCCCTTCAGGGAGACCCAACTGAGCTGGGACAGGTCACCTGAGACCCCCGGCCCGGTGCTGCAGTGGCTGTGTCAGAGGCATTGGAGTTGCCTCCTGCACCTTTTCCACTTTCTCTTTTTAACATGAGGGAAGGGAGGAATAAAACCATATGTTTGAGGAGGTCAGAAATGGGTTCCAGGGAAGTTTTGTTCTAGGTTAGCATGAAACATTTCACTGGCATTTGGTCTCCATGTGTTTTTGGCCCTTGTTGGTCTTTGTTTTAAGCTGGCTATCACAGTTATCCCACAGCACTGAGAGTAAATTAGCCTCCAACAAAGTGTTTCATCAGCTTTCACAGCTAAATTCATCCCCCCCCCCCATCTTTTTTTCCCCTCTTTAAAGAGGAGCCTTTTGGGGAGGGACTGTAATATTTAGCTTTGAGGCACAGAGCTACACTGAAATCACCTTTCTTATTGGGTTTTAAGCCCAATTCCAAACTTCTCTGGAGAGCTTAAGTTCCTCTTGTAAAATTTCCTAAAATCTTGAAGGCAGGACCTCTCCAGAATCAGAGATTTTTCTGGAAATGTTCCTTGAGTGTTGGCTGGGCTCCAGTTCTGGACAGTAGGGAAAATAGTCCCTTATTGGTTCTTCTCCCAATTTTCACAGAAAAGCAAAATTTCAAATGAAATCTCCAGCCTGGTGAGAGATGATATAAAAAGTGGTTGTGCTTCCCAAACAAGGGGCTTCTGGCTCATTCAGAGCTCCATTCCTGAGGGTTGTCTGATCTCCTCTTATTTATCTCCTGCTTCACATAATTTCAGCTCCTCTGAATCTCCACCCCCAGCTTTCCTCCAGATTTTCTTGTTATCCTAAAAATCACAGAATCACAGAATTGTTAGAGTTGGAAGAGACCTCTGAAGATCATTCAGTCCAACCCTCCTACCAAGGCAGAATCACCTGGAGCTGGTGACACAGGAATGGGTCGAGGTGGGTTTTGAATATCCCCAGAGAGGGAGATTCCATAACCTCCCTGGGCAGCTGTTTCAGTGCTCTGCCACCCTCAAAGGAAAGAAGTTCTTTCTCATGTTGAGGTAGAATTTCTTGTGTTTTAGTTTATGGTCCAAACCACCAAAATTTTTAGGTTTTCAGGTGTCCATTTTGGGTTTCTTCTGCAAACCACAACTCCTTTACTGCCCTCCACTTTTTCCTGGCACCTTGGCTTTGCCCACCCTGGGACAGGTCCTCAGGTCACTCCAGACATGAACTTCATCTTAACTTGCAGCTCTTTGTTCTTCCTTGCTCCAAGGCAAAGCCCCTGCTGGAGCTGGTGTTTGGGATTTTGGAAAGCACTTGGGATATTGGAAAGTAGAATTTTTTCCAAAGAGGTTCAAGTAAAATACAAAAGTTTAGCAGCATCATCTGGGCTTGGGAGGGCATCTCAACCTTCAGCTCACTACAGCTGCTCTGTACCTACAGCAAGGAACATAAAGGAACTGACTGCTGACTTTCCTAGACATCTGTGCTTTTAAAAAATGAGTATTTCGTGCTTCACAAAAGGGTTAATGAGAGGCATGTCTCATTTCTCACCTAAATCAGTGCCCATGAACTGAATTTGGGTGCCAGTGATGGACAGTGCTCTCTGCACAGGCAATAAACAGCTCGATAAGGAAATGCAGCCCCAGGTGTGACAAGGCAGCCGTGCTTTCAAAGGCTCATCAAGAGCCTTATTAAATTCATTGGTGCTTCTGAACACACTTGGTGTCCTGTTGGGTTACACATAGCTGCAAAATCCTGGTCTTAAGGAAGCAGGAAATGCAGCACTGCCCTGCAAGAGCAGGCAGGGGCCCTGTGGGAACACCAAGAAGCAGGGAAGCCTAAAATGTAATCAAAGGAAAAAAAATCAACCCATCCCATGCCTGTGTCTCACTGAGCACATCAAAGCCTGAGAACTCACAGAGGCAAGACAGATGTCCTGCAGGAGGACAAATGCAGGTTTGCTGCCATGTCACAAAAAACACTTAACAGGCAATGCAATACTGAAATGATGTGGGCTTGGGGCTTGAACCTCTGCAAGCTGATATTTTTTGGAGCACCTCTGCACTTTGCCATCTCGCAAAGCAGAGCCCACAAACCATCCCTGGGCAGAGTTATCCAGCTACAGCAGCTGCCCACGGCTTGGGAACAAACACAAAACATCCTTGCAACAGGGCACACGGGCTGTGGCCACATCACCTGGGCTCGTACCAGCCTGTCTCTTCTCCATGCAGCCCCTTGGGCCTCATCCTCAGGAACTGTAGTGATAGGACAAGGAACAATGGGTACAAACTGAAAGAGGAGAAATCGAGGTTAGATATTAGGAAGAAATTCTTCCCTGTGAGAGTGGTGAGGCCCTGGCACAGGTTGCCCAGAGAACTGTGGCTGCCTGTAAAACAAATATATGCAGGTATTTTTCCCAAAAATGCCAAGGTAGTGGAAAGGATTCAAAAAGGTTTATTCCAGAGGCAAGGACGCTAAAAACTTATGAAACCTCGCAGTGCCACAAGACAGCACCGAGCACCAGGGGAAAGGCAAGTTCCTGTGCTCCTCCAGGGCTTTTTTGTCCTCCCTCTCTCTTCCCCCACCCTCTGTGGCCCGAGGAGTCGCTGTACATGTCTGCAAACATTATCTCTCCTGCATTCCAGAGAGAGAGCACAGCTCTCTCAGCAACTTTCTCTGAAATACAGAAGAGAAGAAGTTCTACCTTCCTGTTACAAATTCTTCCAAAAGTGCACCTATTCCAACACTGCCCCATCCCTGCAATTGTCCAAGGCCAGGTTGGACGGGGCTTGGAGCAACCTGGGCTAGTGGAAGGTGTCCCTGCCCACAGCACCGGGGTGGAACGAGATGACCTTTAAGGTCCCTTCCAACCCTTAACATTGCATAATTCTGTCCTAGGGGCTGCCAAACCCTGCCACAGTCATCCTTTCTTTCCTCGTCTGACCCGGCACAACCCGACTCTGGAGCCTCCTCACCCCATCCCTCGGTGCTCGGGGAGGGTGTCCCGGGACATCACGGCCACCTCCAGCCTTGGAGGAGCCACCCGTGTCACCCGTGCCCGTCTGGCCGGGTGCTGACGGCTCGGGCTGCGTTTTTGGGGTTGAGGGCTCTGCTTCCCCCAAAGCCTCTAGATGGCAATCGCTCGCAGCGCTGCCGCTTTCCGGAGCTCGCCGGAAAAATTGAGGCTCTTGGAGCCACCCCTTTTCTTGCCAGAAACCCTAGCTATTGCATCCTGAAGAACAACGCTCAGAGCCCGAGGTTATTTTCAGCATCCTTTGTGCCTTGCTCCCTGCTGGTTCGCCGTGCAGGGGCTACGGCAGCTCCCCGGCGCTGCATCCCTTCTGATTCCCCTCTCCCCACACGGTGCTTCGGGAGCGAGGAGGACGAGCCATCAGCCCCGACATCAGCACCTGTGGCTCGCAGGGACACAACATACCTGGAGAAAAATAATCATTAAAGCACCCATTTTATTCCTAGCTGGCTGGAAAAGGCTTTCCCCGCTGTATCCGAACTTAAAAGTGTCTTTTTAAGTGCAGGGTGACTGGCTTGGCTGCCTTGCTGCCGTGGGTGCTGAGGTGGGCTGAGCCCGGGGCACCCCAGATTTGTGTGCCCTCAGCCAGGAGCCACTTGCCAGGTGCTCCCCGTGGGGCCATGAGGGACAGGGACCAGCTGGATCCTGCTGCGGATGCTGGGGCTGGAGAAGTTTTGAGCTGGGAAACTGCAAATATCGGCTGTCCCCGGCGATGGGCGCTGTAAATGGCATTTGTTGTCTTGAAAGGAGAGTGCTCCCAGCCCCGGGTGTTGCTCACAGCAGCCAGTATTACCTGGGCAGGTAATACGGAAAATATTGCTGTTCTCTCTGATAGAATGTAATCACACCTGATTTCAACTTCAGCGATGGGAGATGGGGAAAAGCAGGAGTCACCTTCCAGCTGTGTGTCTTCAGGCTCACACTTGGGCACTGCTGCTCCCTGATTCCCATCTCTGCTTTCTGCAGGTTTCTGAGCTGCTTACGGAGTGGGCAGCCAGGCAGTGGGGTTTCACAGGAAGACCCTCGATTTGCTGTATCTGCTGCATCCTGCCTCCAGCTAAGGACAAGGCTTGGCTCATCCCACAGCCCTGGCTCATGCTGCAGCCCCAGCTCATCCTGCAGCCCCAGCTCATCCTGCAGCCCTGGCTCATCCCACTGCCACCCTCCACCTTGAGCTTCCCAGGTAACAACTTTTCCACAAATGTATGTTCAGATTTCTCGAGGAAGGTGTCTGGGCTCTTTCTGACCCCAGGTGCATCCCCTCTTTTAACTCTCTGAGGACCATTTGCAGGTGAAGGTGTAGCACGTCCAGCCCTGTGTATCACCCAGCACGGCTGGGCACAATCACCAATTACCTTCCTGAAAAATGAAGGCTGCTCATTCCCCCCAGCTCAGAAACAGGATGACCTGCTGGCACGCTGAGCATCAAAGAGCTTCATAGCAGCTTTGCAGGACTGTTTTTCCCTGGTGAGACATTTGCCAAGGGCTGAAAGTTGACTCAGCACCAGGGACAAAGAGCTGCAGAAGAGAGCAAGTAGAAAATGATGAACCGTTATAGAAAATGATAAATCCCTGCAATAATAAATAATACAGTGAGAGGTAATTAATTATCTCTATTTATGCTATGCTGCGTGGTTATTAGATGTGTTTCTAACCTAGGCAGCCCGGGATTTCATTTGTGCTGTTCCATCTTCCCTCTGTTAAAACTGCAGGCCTGTGTGGGGCTCACAGCTCCTGGACCAGAAATTAGTCCTGTACTTCCCTGGCACAGACCTTCCTGTGCCTGCACTGGGTGTCCTTCGGTGCAGGCGTGGACACGTGGGTCAGGATCGGGCTGTAGGGAGAGAAACCAACCCCCAACTGAACCCTGGGAACAGCAGCACGACGTGGCTGCATCCCTTGCTGGTGCAGTGATGTCAGAGGCACCAGATGGCTCCCTTACTGCCCGATTTAACGGTGCCTAATGAGGTCACTTCCATAAAGAGGCAATTATTTCCTGGGAGCCATTTGCTAACGTAATTAAATCTCTTTCATGCCTGGTTTTAGCAACTGGCTGAGAGCAGGGCTGGTGTGAAAGGCAAAGCAAGGAGGGACCATTCCAGCAGTCACCACTGTCATGTGTTGGTCCTTCCAAACCAAGAGCTTTTCTGCTTCTCTTTCCCAGAAATGGGTCAGCTTGGCTTTGTCTGGATCTGACCGGCAACCTCTGCACCGGGAGCTGCATCAGGAGCTTCCCCATCCACTGCTGGTTTGGTCTGGAGCAGCCGTGCCCAGGGGCATGGCATGTGGAGCATCCTCACCCGTGCCCAGGGGCATGGCATGTGGAGCATCCTCACCCGTGCCCAGGGGCATGGCATGTGGAGCATCCTGACCCGCTGTACCCACCCAGCTCAGCCAGCTCCCTGCTGCCTGAGGGCAGCCAAACCATTCAGCGTTGGACTTGCTCACACGTGTTCACCTGCAACAGCAGCTCCCGTGCCCTGGGCTGATCTTTCATCCTGTTTCCCTCCAGAAGCACTAGAAAGGCCGTTCCAGGGATGCACCATGTGTAATGTCATTTGTAAGTGTAAAGATGTATTTTAATGACTTGTTGTGTCTGGCATTTTGGAGGTGATAAAGCTTGGAGAATTTTCTTCACTTCTTAGAAAATTGACTTAGTACAGATGGCACTCTGAGCATTTTTATTAAAATAAATAGGAAAAGGCTGTGCCCCCAGAGGCCATCCTACTCCTTTTCCCAAACCTGTGGGTGAAACATGACCATGAACATCTGCCAGGGCAGTGCAGGAACAACAGCTCCAGCCCTTCCTGTGCCAGCGCAGCTTTAATTAAAAAATAAACTGTCAGACACCATAAAAAATTTAAACTTGAATGCCTTTACATCCATCTGCAAGTCTTCTGGCAAGGCTGAGGTGTCAGAGTGGCTGCCACTCCCTGCTGGGCTCAGAAGGCTCCATGTCCCCATGCAGGAGGCTGGGTCCTGCTGACAGCACCCAGTGTCCCCCCGTGGGGGGGATGTGGGGAGTGTGCCCACCTCCCAGTGTGGCTGGCAGCAAGGAACAGTGGTGTCTGATCCCCTCCTGCAAGCTCCCAGGAATGATTTAAGTGCTTTCATTTAACCTTATGAGGATTTTTCAGCTTCCTCGTAGGTGATGCAAATGTCACCCAGGTGGGAAGGAATTTTATGACCACACAGCAAGGCCAGTGCAGCTGGAGATGCCAACGTGCTGCAGAGCAAATGGGACAAGCAGTAGTGGGTGCCAGAGCTGGCCCTGCTGTGCTTCAGGGGTCACAGTGATGGGGACAGGCAGCAATCCCACAGGGAAACTTTTCCTCTTGGTGCTCTGGTCACCCCCACCAGGAACTGGGGCAGTTGATCCCTGCTCTGCAAGGGGATTCAGAACATGAGAGTGTTGCTTCCCTACCAGGCCACCACTGAACTATTTAATTTCTTTTGAAAAATCTGCCCAGTGCCTGGTATGGAAGAAAACTCCCCAAGCTCTGCCTGGAGCCTCCTTTTCTCTCCTTTTCCAGAGCTTTTTTACATTCATCTGCTTTTTGCTATTGCTGCCCCTGGAGAAGGCAGATGTCCCCTTGTCCAGCATCAGCTGGCATTGATAAACCGTGCTCCACCCTGTGGTGTACTCCTGCTCTTGGCTGATTATTCCTGTTAATTATTTCCTTTGAAGCAGAAGCCAGACGCAAAGCCATCAGCTCTGAGTGCTGCTTGGCTTTTGCCCTCACATCTGCAGCTGCTGGCACTGGAGAACCCTCTTGGAGAGGTGGCTGTCAGTGCTGCTGGTGCCAGGACTGAGCCACCGGCGCTCCCAGCCCTGCCCGTGTCCCCACTGCTCTCACCCTCAATGCCCCAAAGCCTCTCCTACAGCCACTTCCAAAATGATATTCCAAAATATTTCCCTTCTCAGCGGTTTTTTGGATACTTGGGTGTTGGATGTGCAGGGATGAGTTGGTCAGAGCAGAGGGTGCAGGAGAGGAGGAGGCTCTGGCTGTGGACCAAACCCTATCGCATCCCTCCCAACTTGGGGTGCCCAGCCCCAGGTGTGGCTGGACATGTGCCCAACCTGTGTGGTCCCAGACACCAATCCACACCCACTGGTTCCAGATTCTGCACCTGGGTGAGGAATGGGTCCTGCAGGGAGGTCCTGGACAGCATTGGTAGGGACAGAGAGGGTAGCAGGTCCTCTGGGGTCAGAGCAGTCTCAGCAGAGCTGAGAAAATTAGACCACTATACCCCAGACCTAACAGAGTTTCCTCTCCTTTCCTTATCTGTTATCAGGAGTGACAGGCTGTTCTGGGCTCATCCACTGTTTCTGCTTCCTTTTCCTTCATCCCAGGCTCACTGATTACTTTGCCTCAGTTTCCACATGGGAAAAACCCAGATGGTGATGATGGACAGGGAAGCTGATACTCAGCAGGAGCATCACCAAGTCCTTTACTCCCTACTCACCCACTGGAGCTCGCACAGCCCACAGGCTCTACCACAGATCTGTTCCAGGAGAAAACAGACTAATGAGCTTCCTGGCAGGGCTGTGAATGGAAAGGGGGTTTTATGCCACAGGTTGCAGCTTGCCCTGTGCTGAGCTCAGCTGTAAAGCAGCAGAAGCCACAGCAGGTTTGCCCTCGTGAGGCTGAATGGTCCTTCAAGGGGCCAAAGGCAGTGGTGCCCTCCCTGCCCCAAGGCAGGGACGATGCCACAAACACTGCAGGGACATCCCTTGTCTCAGAGGACAGCAGGCATTTAAAGAAACTTTGCAGCACTAAATACCCAACACTGACAACTGACCCAGAGGGAGAGTTGCCACTCATCCAACATCTTGGATGGGCTGGAAAAGTGAGGGCTTATCCTTGTCCACAGCTTGTTGCATCACTATTCTCTGTTCCACACAGGTGTCCACAGTGGGAGGCAGAGCGAGAGGGCAGGACCCCCCCCCAGCTCCCTGCACTGGTATCTGGTAAGAGCAAACTGAACCCCGACCTGAACCCACAAACAACACCAAGCGTTGGGATCTAGGATAATAAACCAGAGGCAAGACGCACCTGGGCTGATTTTCTTCCTTGCTGACCCTGTGCACAGGGAGCTGGTGCTCACAGGTTTCTCCCATGCAGTGGCTCTCCCATGCTGGGTGTGGGTCCCGGGATGTGCCTCTTCCTGAAGTCTGCCCAGAGCCTGCCAAAGGCTGCAGGACAAGGGATTTTTGAACTTCAAGTCCTTGATACCTGCTGTGATTATCTTGGACATTGAATCATAGGATCATGGAAAGGTAGGAAAAGCCCTCTAAGGCCTTTGAATCCAACTGTTCCCCCAGCACTTCCAAGCCCACCACTAACCCATGTTGCCAGCGCTGTTAAATCCTTCCAGGGATGGGGACTCCACCATTACCCTGGGCAGCCTCTGCCAATCTTTGACAATGCTTTTGGTGAAGAATATTTTCATAATATTCAATCTAAATCTCCCCTGATGCGACTTGAGGCATTTCCTCTTGTCCTGTTTCTTGTTACTTGGGAGAAGAGACCGACCCCCACTTGGCTCCAACCTCCTGTCAGGGAGTTGTAGAGAGCAAGAAGGTCCCCCCTGAGCCTCCTCTTCTCCAGGCTGAGCCCCCACAGCCACTCCTCATAGGACTTGTGACTTACTCTAAGTCACAGATCTTCCTTTGATACATCAATTTTTCTCTTAAGCTTCACTTCTTCCTGTCATTGGCCTCTCATCAAGAATGTTCTCTTTGGCAAGGAGAAAGCCGGGTAGTTGCTGGGAAATTTTAGGGGTTTGCACAGGTTCCCTGTGATTAAACATCTCTCTGGAGAGCTGAACAAAGAGCTCCTGCTGCCCTGCCAGGAGGGTGCAAGGACCCTTCATGGCACCATGTGCTCAGTGCTGGCATCTGGGTCCTTGCAGAGTTCTGCACCATCACTGCTGTCTCGGATGCCTCCTCCAGAAAGAGGCTGAAGAAAAAAACCCCAAAGCAGGCATTTGCTGTCAGGGCGGTGTTTGGAGGGTTTTATCTATTCATTTTTCATTACAGTGCTTTATAATACAATTTCTGAAAGCAGCAGTGAGAAGCATCTGCTGACAAATACCTCCCATGGCCACCAGAATTTTCAAGCAGCACTCGAGCCCAGGGCAGCAGCTGAGCAGAGGCACTTCACAGAGCTGGAGCTGATCCTTCCTTGCTGAGCAGGAGAAGGGAAGGCAGAGAGGGGAGCAGCTGTGTCTCTGCTGATCCCACTCCATCACAGAGCAGCAAAACCCACCACCAGCCAGGGCCCTTGAGAGCCCGCTACTGAATTCCCCATCTTCACAATGCTGGAAAGAATTTAAAGTATAAATTTCACTGCCAGCGTTTGCCACATCCTTCTGACCTTGATTAATGCTCCTCTTTCCCTGTGGAATGAGCTGTAAGCATTTCTCGAGGCCTGTCTGAGTTTTCATGTTGCCTGGAGGGAGAAGTAATCCCCCTGATTCATGGCAGTGACCTTTAGGATGAGCACAAGTGCCTCAGATGAGATATTTATGCATGAAGTCTTGCTGCCACGGGATCAGGCAAAAGATGAGTGCTGCCATGGTGCCAATGAGCTCCCAGAGCCACAGTGGACAAAGCCAAGGAGCAAGTGCTGTTCCACCAGGTGAGGATGCTCACACTCATCAGCCCAACCCTGCATCCCAGGGCTGGTTAAGCTGAGGCAGAGGCCTCAGAGCCAGATGGACAAGACTGTTTGTCTGCACCATCACCAGCAACACCTGCGTGTTTACAGCACTGTCAAAGGACAATAATCCTTTAATAATTCATAAACAATCCAATTTCCTTGGAGGATGAATGACTGTCAAAATGTTCTTTGCAATTACTCTGGATACAGGCTGGACCAAGGAAAAAAAAAAAAAGCTAAACCTTGCTGTTACTCAGCCACCCGAGTAACTTAATTTTGCTTTCTTATACCTGTTCCTGCTTCAGGGATTAAATGCTCAGCTCTGGTCCAGCAGCAGAAACCAGTGATCAGGCTACAGCTGTGTCCATCCTGCCCTGGGGTGACACCAGCAGCAGCAGCCCACGGGCAGAGAGGCTGGAGAGGCTCCTACACAGCCAGGGCATGGAGGGACCTGTCACCTGCATTGGGCCATGACCTCCCCTGGGTCACCTGTCATCTGGCACAGTGCCAGCTGGCTCAGCACACACCCTCCTTTTTCCCTCTTTTCTCTCCCCTGCAGAATCCTGCCTGGGGCTGATGCTGGAGGGGCTGGAGTGGATCAGAAAGCAGCCAGAGCTGCTGGAGGGCAGGCACAGACACACCTGAGCAACTCCCAAACTTCCAGTCTTTCCCAAAATGGGCTAAACCCCACCACCCCTTGGACCAACTGTGCATGTGCATTTTGGGTGAAGGCTCCAGCTCTGTCCTCACGGCTGGGGACTCTGGTAGTTGTAAAATGTACCTTCTGCTGATAAGGTTTGTTTCCTGGTACAACTTTATTTTGCATGGCAAACCCTGGAATACCTCTCCAGCTTCTTATCTTCAATTAAGCTGTTGAAACACCTTGGTCTTTTACACTTTCCCCAACATGGCTCAGCAGGTCTCTCATGCCAACTCTGGCCACCAAACCACCTGCAGAGGCTTCTTTTCTCAGCTCAGATAGATTCAAACCTGTTTGCAGGACCTGCACACATCCTGATCAAGCTCTCTGAGGGGTTCTGCATGAGGGAGAAGTCGTGCTCACCCTCAGCTCTGTTATGGCTGTGCAAGACAGACCCAGCTCTCTGAGCATGCAGGTTTTGTCTTGGATAGACATTAGATTATGACAGTGGTGAAGCCCTCAGCTGTTTTGGTGCCCAAGTCTTCATGCTCCTGCCTGGCTGGTCTGTACATTCCAAAGGCTGGCAACAGCATTTGGTCCTTTACTTTGGGACTTACTGGCTAAAACAGCTCCTTAATGGCCAGGTGGGAGAGACCAGATGGGTTGGAGCCCTAAATCCCACCAGCACAGGAGAAGAGCAGCAGTTTGGAAGTCAAATTGAAGTCAAAGTTGAACTGAAGTCAGAAATTGAAATTGAAGTCCAAGTCCGTGCTATTTTCCCACAGTTTCCTTGCACAAGCCCTCCAGCAGCCTGATGGGCTGGACCCAGTGGCCCCACCTCACCTCACCGTGTGTCCAGCACTGCAGCCCACGCTGCTCCCAGGAGCATCCCCTGTGGATGCTCCCTCTGCAATGGTACTCCCAAGCAAATTGCCATGGAAACAGAGCCAAGGCACACAAAACATGTCTGTGAGCAGGGACTGAGGTGGCCCTGGCAGGGGAGGGGCTTCATTCATCCCTGCTGCCTTCATCCATAGTCCCTGAGGCTTTCAGATCCAGAAACAGCAGGCACAGGGCAAGGAAACTTCATCCCTGAGCTCTCTGGGCATGTTGCAACCTTCCCTTGAGCACTAAAGGTTAATAATTCCCTATTTCTGTAACCTGGCAGGAGTTTGCAGTGATTTTTGATAAAAATATGCGTGTCCAACTGGTGATGGTGGGGACCAGCTGCAGGTCAGAGCTGAGGAGTGAAAACTCTTTAAACTGTGGGGTCCTGACTGCTTGAGAATCCTCGGAAAAAAATTAGTCCCTGCTAATTCTCTCAAACTGTTGCACGGGTATAGGCATGACTGTATTTAGAGCTGAAATCTGGTCTCAGTTTCCTTTCTCAGTGGCACTGGCTGAGGTCCCTTGTCCCTGCAGCCCCACACTCTGCCCTACCCTACCTTGCTGTTGGATGCTTTAAGCCTGTGGACAGGCCAGCCTTTGCTTTGCTTACTCCAGTCTTGTGGAAAGGAGACAAAGAAAAATGGCTACTGGATGGGGAACAGAGCCTCTAAATTATTCTTTAACAAATCTCAAACCCAAAATAAAACCCAAAACCTCATCAGGGTCAATGGACCCATCCTACACCACAGCCCCTGCCCTGAAGAGGAGCTGCAGTGGGAGCAGAGGAAAGGCAGAGCAGGACCAGCTATACCTCTCTTTTCCTCCACTATAAGGTGCCCAGAACAGGAGGTTTTCCTAAACATCAGTTCCTGTTCCATCAGGAATTTCTCTGCCTGTCCCTGTTGAGTCTCCAGCCTCCGGCCACGTTCGAGTGCAGTCATTCAGCTGGATCTCAGCACCAAAGCAGAGCCAACTTTGCCTTCTACTCACTTAGGTACAAATAATCTTTTACTATATTAATTACTTTGCACAGAAGGATGAGACATAAATTATTACCCAGTGGTTATAATTGCATGTTCTTAGCACGTGTGCCTCATTACTAATTATCCCCATTCTCCCAGGCAGATTAAAAAGCAGAAGTTTGGATTGCGGCTGCCAGGGAATAAGACTGCTGAGGGAGGAGAATGAGTACCTTCTTGCCATCAGAGGGGAGTGAAATAATGCTTTAAATACCAAACTAGCCCCTCTTCTCTCCAAATTACATTTGCTGGAGGCTGGTGCACGGAGCTTTCCTGGGGGACAGAAATGCCTGTGGCAGCCCCAAGACCTTCCTCCCATACTGTGCCTCCCATCCTGTCTCCTTCCACTGACAGTACAGCTTCTCTTGGGTTTATACCAATAAAACCTGTATTGAAAGCTTTTTTACTTACTCTTGTTAGGCTTGTGGTTTTCCAGCAAGTACCCTTTGGGGCAGGGTGGGTGGTCATTGGCTCTGCAGAGCCTGCAGTAAAGAAAGAGTTAAAAATGTCATTGTCTTGGCTATGAGTGGCCCATAGGATGGCCTGCCATCTACATTTGGGTCACTCCAGGAATAAAATAATAAATAACATGCTGTGCTTCACATCCTCAGCCTGGCCAACAGCCCTGGACGTCACCGCAGGGTTTGTGGTCACCACTGCCCTGGTCACACCAGAAATGCCCTCGGGATGCCAAAGGTCTATTCAATTCCAGACTGTTGTTTCTGCTTACAGAAAGTATCTGGCATGTCAGACGAAGCAGAGGTGGACATGTCACAAGAGGACACATTTGCACCTGCAGTGGGCAGCATGTCCTGGGCTGAAGGACCCCCAGTAATGCTGTAGCCGCATTGGGTTGACTCTGCTACAAAATAAATCAGGATCTCATTCTTAGGACAGTTTCTCCCTCAACTATCCTGCACACAGCCTCCTACTGCTCTCAAAAACATTTGGTCTCTGCTAGGAGAGCTTATAACTGCACAGCCCAAAGCCTTTCCCCTGCCCCCCAGCTCATGGCAGAGCCCTTTGACTCCAGCCCCTTCTTTCTAGGCTGGCTCCCTTGCAGCCCAAAGAACACCTGTTTGACAAATTTCCAGCCCCAATGCTCTGGAGGTCACAGACTG